AAGATATATGGTTTTCTTATGATTTTTCTTTCATATAAAATAGTTTCTCTTCTCGTCTTCATCAGCCAACTCTGTTTCATTCAATTTCTAGCTATATGTTTAACTTCTCTAGTAGGATCTTCTCTAATAATTTTCATCCCGTACTGATAGCCTTTCTTTTTCAATACATTTTCCCAAGTCAAGTATTGACTTCATGAATTTTCATATATTCTAGATGTGTGTTTTACATTTTCATGGAAGCAGAATTTAATTTTATGGTTATGTGTGTTCAGAACCTAGTAGGAGTCTGATTGAAGATGTATGACATCTTGTTTCCTGTTTCATTTTAATCTTTTGTATCAAAGTGATATATATTCTTTATTTCATTTTTATGAGTGTTTTTACATCCCCAAAATGTGCCTTTATTTTGTATAGTACTGGTTTCCAAGACAGTTGCTAATAACACATCCTCTATGTAACTTGTGTTAGTATAACCCAGTGTTAGACCAGAAACTTTTTATTATTTCAGTTTTAGTAGATGAGCAGCTAAAGCAAACACACTTCAGAAGATTCTATACCTCCTTACTTGATCCAAGAATTTACTATTGTTTGTATTGTTAGTATGTAATTGCAGTTCTATATTGTTAGCATTACTAGTCTATACACTGAACCTATCTTTTCATTATTAAGAATGTTTCTATTTGACATTAATTATAACTAGAATTACATAATTACTTTAAATAATGTCTGGTCAGTAATTTACATAAGTTTTCATTTATGCTGTCAAAGTCTTAATTGAATTACATTCATGCAATGAGAAGAGTAAGTTTTTAAATCTTACATTCAGGATTTAAGCATTTTTGTCTTGTACTTTTAAATGTCTTCTGAAGAAGAAATATCTTTTTCATTTCTTTTATATGACTCATAGCATTGAAGAAAATAGCTTGCATGCCCTAGGTGCTTAGTGAATGTTTATAAAGGAAGAGATGCTAAGAGTCATGGCTTACTACCTTGCTTTCAGTAGGTTCTCAATTAAGATTTGATTAAGTAGCTTTTAATGGTATTCTTTATAATCTGGACCTACAAGTCTAGGGTATATTCCTTGCCTATCCCACCAAGTTCTCACTTGCTTGCTAGATCTCTGACCTCCTCCACTTCCATATAACCACCATGAATTTAAATTTTTCCAGCCTTTTGCCTTTTTAGAGTGTGTCTGCCATCTAGTGATCAAAAAGGTAACTGCAAAGTTTAATGGACCCTTTGAGGAGCCCTATGTACCAAGTTAATTCACAGCATACCACTTTCCCTGATGGTCCCACCACAGAGACTTTGTATGTATTGTTAACTATTACCATCATCTTATTAAAACCAGCTAACTGTTGAGAGCTCAACTCAAAAAATCTTTCAGAGAAAGACTTCCTTTGACCTCTCAGGTTAGGTCAAAGTGTTTTTGTTGCAATCACAGCTTAGTACAAGTTAATTTTAGTCATAATTTTATGCTTATTTGTATGATTATTCACTTTAATTAATGTGTAATTTACTAGAAGGTAATACCCATGAGGGCAGAGAGCCTTCTTCTTTGTTCCTCTAGCATTAGCCCAGTACCTGGCACATGGAAGGCATTTCTTTAATCTTTGTTGAAGGAATGAATATAACAGTCATCTATACCTCATGGATCCTTAAAGTGCTTATGTAAGTCAGTCAGTAGGGTATTTTCTTACTAGTTGTTTAACTCATTGAATAAATACTCAACAGAAACTACCTACTTTGTATGATACTCATTTACTCAGAAAACATTAACTGCCTACAAAAAAGGATAACTATTATCAAAAAATAAAACTATAATTAGTGAGGAAACCAGTGAGATAATACAAAGGACAGTCCATAGGTCGTTGGAAATATTGAAATGCTAGCAGATGCAAAACTCTCTAGTTCTGTTAGACAAAGGTTAACAGTCATAGAAAATTATTAATATATTAATCAGTTTTTTCTTTCTAATTATAATTATGTTTTGGAAATTGATCACAGGATACACTGTTTAATACCATTCCTATATAGAAGTGATGAACCCTGGTTTAGGTAGGAAATATGAAATCCTAATTCAGATGTGCTTATGAAGCCCACATTATGACTTTGATGCTACAGATTTTGGAAAAAAAATAGTAGCTTCATTTTTTAAAAAGTTGGAATTGAAATAAAATCATCTACAATATATGCAGGAAGCTGTAGGATATAAAGTAAACTATTAGGGAAGAAAATGATCTAAGGATTTGGAACACAACAGAGAACGACATGGATTCGGTTTTCTGGTTCCTATTTTTGACTGTGTGTGACTTTGGGTCGATTATGAAGCCTATGTGGGTATTATTCCAGATTTCTTATACAGTCCTTTAGACACTAAGTGAGTGCTTAATGGAAGAATTTAATTAATTCAACTCTGTATTCCCAGGACCTAACCCCGTATATATGTGAGAATGCTTTATAAAATACTCTATATATTGTTATATATTTATTTTCTGATAATCCTCTTCTATTAGTTCTTAAATTCTAATGATATTAACAAATAGCAACATAAAGTCCCAGATTTCTTATAGTTTTGCTCATTTAGTTTTAATTTTGATTTCTTTCATCAAAAAGTTAAATGTAAGACCACCTGGCTGGCATAATGCTGTATACGGGATTCAATGCAATAATAATGTCTTGTCTTTAGAAATAAAGAATTGTAGTATATTTTGTGAGTTGGGGGATGAAATATATTTTCCCCAAAGAAATAATGTTGTGAGTGGTGATTCTGCAAATTTTCACTTAACTCATAAACCTCCAACTTAAAGTAGTATGATAGTAAAGTGATACTATGGTTTTAGGTCATCCCCTTTATTTCTTTTCTTTTCTTTTCTTTCTTTTTTTCTTTTGCAGTAGTAGGGATTAACTCAGGGCCTGGTATGGGCTAGGCAAGCACTCTACCACTGAGCTACATGCACCCTGGTCCCTCCCCAAATATATTTATAATCACCAGCCTTACAGGGAACTTAGAGGAGTAGAGAAGAATAGATCAGTGCTATAGGTTGCAGAAACTTGCTTATTAATTTTGGGTGCAATAAAGGCAGTTATCTGGGTTGGAAAATAAAAATGAGAAGACAGAAAATTATTTCTCTGTGGTTTCATGGCTGAAGTGTACACATTCATGTTCACTGTTGCCTGTCTCAAACAATAGCATGCATTCTTAAGCAACTAAAACATACAGATTCTGGCCTTTAAATGTCATTTTCCACTTAGAAAAACTAGGAATCTTTTCTGAGATTATATCAAGAACACAGGAACCAACTTTAAAGAGCTACCACTGATGAAGGATGGGATAATTTTTTAAAGTTTTATTTTGAAATATTTCAAACATGTATAGTAGTAAAGAGACACTTATTAATATTTCCCAGGTTTCTTTCATGTACTTCCAGTAACAGTCAACTCAGGGTCAGCTCATGCATGCTCCTTCTTCCACCACTGTATTATTTTGAAGTAGAAAACCAACAGTATATCGGGCTGGGGATGTGGCTCAAGCGGTAGTGCGCTCTCCTGGCATGCGTGAGGCCCGGGTTCGATTCTCAGCACCACATACAAACAAAGATGTTGTGTCTGCCGAGAACTAAAAAATAAATATTAAAAAATTCTCTCTCTCTCTCTTTCTCTCTCTC